TATATATATATATATATAATTTTATTACATATTTTTTTATTAAGATAAAAATTTAGAAATATAATTTATTTTAATTTAAATATAAATTTTATTAATTCTTACTATGCTCATATGTTATTTTTTTTGTATCCTTGAATTTTATGATATAAATATTTTTACCTATAATTTTTACAATGACTATTTATTTACTTTTTTAAGTATAATAACTTTTTTTAGCTGATTCAACAAATTTTGTGAATATAATTTTTTATTATCAATCTTATGTGTTTTGTGATTTTATTTATTAAATATAAGATATCTTTACACAAACAAAATATAATTATCATAAAAAATAATTAAAATCTTTAATACTTTAATAAATTTATTAACATACATTTAAAATTCAATAATTCGTAAATATTTACATAAATAAAAAATTAATTTATTAGATCATTTGTCAATTTATATTTTATATATAATTATATATTTTAATTTATTGTACCAGTAATATTTTTCTATATTATATTAATGTTATAGTGTTATTAATTTTACGTGTATTTGTTAATTTAAAATAATAAATTAAAGAAATAAATAAAATTAAATATTTTATAATTATTTTATTTTTTTAATTTAATAGTTATTATTATTTTCATTATATATATATATTACATTAAATTTAAATTTATTTATTTTTCAAAATATAATAATTTTCTTTCAGCTGATTCAACAAATTATATGAATGTTATTTTTTGTGATTAATTTTATGTGATTAATTTTATGTGTTTATTATGACTTTATTTATTAAATATAAGATGTCTTTAAACAAATAAAATATGATTCTAAAAAAAACTAAAATCTTTAATAATTTAATAATTTTAAAAATAAATAAAAAAATAAAATAAAAATTTATTTAATATGAAACATTTATAATTAGTGTTCAAATAATATTTTAAAAATAATTGATAAAATTATTATAATTATTTAATAATTATTAATAACACAGATGAAAAGTTAAAAAATATGTAAACTAATTTAATAATAAAATATTTATATTTTTATTAATATTAAGATTATTTTTTTTGTAACAAGCTTTAGGCCAAGACAGACTGAAACTAAAGCCTTTAATAAGTAACAAGTCAGGTTTAGGCCTAATAATTATGTTATAGGTCAAACATGTTTAAGGTAAAACCTGGTCTCGTTAGACTTGTTTTCATTCCTAATGGTAGATGATGAAATTATATCACGATACAAAATTATATCTATAACGAGATAGTTGCAGAGCACAAAAGCTAACTTATAATTGATTGTTGTGTTTCAACTAGGAACAATAATTAGTGCATGTAGTTATTTATGGTGTTATATATGTACACTTGAAGCATGAATTTATTAGCGTTTAAGGTGGTGAATACTTAAGAATATTTTGGGAATAATACAGTAAAAAAATGTCATGTGTTGAGTCACGTAAGAGACATATGTTGCTTAATTGGATTGATTGATAGACAATAAGATGAACACACGAAGCTTCTGTTATCCATCAAGTAAGAGTGATTAATGTAGCTAGGGGTCAAACTTGCAGCGGTATATAAGCACAACTTTAGACAAAGCTCAGGAGGGTATCCCTGTAACTTGACCGTATTTATAGTTTAGGTTGTGAAACATCTCTTCACTTCTGTTTCATTAGTTCTAATTGAAAAAACTTTAGAAAGTGAGCAGAAAGGTTTCTTCTACATTAATTTATTTTAAATTCCTGTATAAAATGCGATATCAATCGAGAAAGAATAAAAAGACAAGGATAAAAGAATGTTAGTTTTAAAATAAGTTATAGAGTGGAAAAACAATAAAACATTAAGATTCATAAGATGATATATTTGCATTTACTTTTTTTTTAAAATGCATATATTATCTAACATTTTTTCCTATCTTAAAATATCCTATGCTAATTTGGTAAACACCCAATTTATACACACAACTTTTTTGCTTGCGTACGTTTTACAGATATAGTGCTTATATGTGGTCCACATACATTTTAACGAATTAAAGTTGTATTAACATCTAAATAAGTTAATTCGAGCAAGAATGTACACATGGGCAAAAGCACCTTATAGTATTGTTATACATGTTAAGGTTTTAAATCTTTAAAAATGTAAATAAGTGTTTTGTGTTAAGTTCTATGTCCAGATAGTTAAACATTAATTGAATTCAAGTTGATTTAGATTGGATCATGAAGTCAGAAAAAAGTTCGAGTTTGTTATTCATTAGCAAAGCAAATAATAATAATAACAAGTGTTATTGGTCTAAATTTTTTTGCCTTAAATATGAAACTAAAGAAAAATGTTTGTTATGATACTATAAACTTAAGAGGATGGTAATCTTTAATATTTAATTAACAAGTATAATTTTTTTAATACGTTAAAAATTTTAAACAATTATATATATATATATATATATATATATATTTTAAATAAATCACTAACTTAGCTACAGATATACGAAAGCTTCCGAGAGTAGAGTTTCTATGGAATTGGTACAACTGAATGGTAAACTTACCGAATCATTTCCTCCTTTTTCTTCAATCATTTCACGCTAGAAAATGATAGGGACCATATTCTCATTTATTTGAGAAATATTTTCTGTTTACACTAAGATTGGAGAAACAGAAGATAATAATAATATCAATTTTTTTCTCCAATAATTAATAACTCATTTAGTGGCAAAGGCGTAGATTTTCAGACCAATCAAACAACAAAGGAATACAAAACATATGTCAACAGATTTTGTGGACTTATTTATACCCGAAATTCTAATATCAGTAGTGATACAGTGGATAAGCGTAATAAGATAAGAACTTCAAAATCGATGCAATCCTCAAAAGTTCCTCTTGTCATCAATGTGAAGAACATCACCTACTATATAGCAATATAGCAAAGACCAAGAGGCAAGAGCCCATGACTTAAAAGAAGATTGGTTTAGAGAGGCGTTTTTCACCAAACATCCCATCGTCAGATTCCAATCATCATAAAAGACAAAAATAGGCAATGAATGGAATTGTCTCAGGTAAACCAACCATCACGAAGTTGATATTATTTTGCTTGATTTTGATTGCACGAGAAGCTTGATTAGTCATTCACATTGGTCATTATGAAAGAATCAATAGAAACTCCATCCAACTAAAATGCAAGAAACAAAAAGTATTCTTCCTCTAGTAATGGAATCCTTGCATTTAGATCACCTGATTTAACATTCTTTATTGGTCAGAATGCAGAAAAAGAGTAGGGCAAGGAAAGCTTTATGGCTGAAACAATAGTTTTTGCAGAACAGCCTAGTTTTGTTTCTGTTCTTGATGCTGCGTTCTACCACAGAGAAGACCCACCCGTTTCTAGTTAAAATTAAGAAAATCTATATAAAAAATATTGGTACTTTGCAACTTCATTTTCAAACAACACATATTGAATGTCAAAATTAGTAAAAGAGTATATATTAAATGAGTATCATTGCACCAATTATACTTGTTGGTGCTATTCACAAAAATCATCTAGGAAAGGAGTTTGAGTTACATCTTAATTATCTTTAAATTTATTGATACTGAGGAAGTAATGAATTATGATGTTTGTCAACCCTATCGTTAAGTGAAAGAGAGTAGAAATATAGGAAATGACTTAAATGCCTATACGAAAATGAAATCAGACAACTTAAAGAATCAAGAAAATGGAAAGAAATTGTGAAACACAAATACGTATAAGATTCCATTAAGTTTTGAATTTCCAAATCATAACTAATAAGGCACCATAGAAAATAATAATAATAAAAATCTCAATTAAGTGAGCTGACCTTCCCAAGAATAGCACCCAGATGGTTAGAATTTGGCTCATGTAGTTAATATAAGATAATTAGAGGAAGAAAGATATAATGTTGATGATATAAAGATAAATGATCATTAAATATTATAAGTTGGATGAATATTTGTAAAATTGAATTATAATTAACGTTTGGATAACAAATACTGAAAAAGTAATTTTGGCAAAATACTATTTTGATGTTTTAAGTCAAAATTGCTTTTAAAATGTGTAATATTAAAATATATTTTTAATGTTTATGTATTATTATTTTGATATTAATAATTTTTTGTTAGTAACTTTTTATTCAAATTCTAAAGATGAGCATCGTTGAATTTTTATCAACAAAGGAGTCAACCATCGCAACCTCCGTTCCTGCCAATTTATATAATGGTATTCAGGGGAAGCTTCACTACTGCATGAGATGCTAACCTTCAATATATGCTATTAATGTAATATATTTTATTTTTAAAAAAAAGGTTTAAATAAATGAATGATGAGATTTACACAGTTGAGCGCACTTGAGAAGAACTCGATCCGGTATTCACTGTTCACTATTCACCATTCACCATTCACCATTCACCATTCACCATTTGAATGGCTAATAGGCAAGTCAATCTATATTGTTGTACCAACGAAATGAGTAGAGCAATATTAAGTATATTAGCTGCATCAATCAAAAAGTATATCAGATCCATAAGTTATGCGGAAAGCTATGCGAGATATGAGAGAATGGCAAAACAGAGACAAGAAAAATGCTAAAAACCAGAATCCAGAACCTACCTTACGTTTGACAGAAGGATGCAAGTTTGAAGAAAACTACGAACATGTGAATTAGCACTTGAAAGTGCGTTTAAGCACGACAGATGCGTGTTTAAAAAAATATTCACAAAAATATAAAAATATAATAAATATTTCCCTTTCTAATAAAATTTTATTATTATTAATCTCATTACTTTAATAAAATCCAAATAAAAGTGTGTGTTTGAGTGGATATTCGTAAACTTGAGTTTGAATAATATAATTTTGTATAACTAATTAAATTAATATAATTTCGTAAACTGTAGTTGACCACGATTTCAGATTTATGAACGAGGGTAGGAAATTTTCTATTAAAGCTAGAGCTACTTGGCAGTTGATTGTTAATTGTTATAGTTATGGGTGTGGCGCGTTTCTTATACATATATATAATAAGAAGACCCAATTTTTCCATTTACTTTTCTTGTTTTTTTTTTTTTTTTATCCCAAAGGACCCGCCAATGTAAACGCACTTCCCATTCCGATTCTCTATCCGAATGACTCAACTGGTCATCCCATTCTGTTTTCACTAGGTCTCAGATCCAGGTAATGTATCAATCGCGTTTCACCAACGGAATTTCGCATATTGAATTATTAAACACTTTCGACTCTCAATCACTTCAAGCTATTATTATCCAAAATTATTCGCTGAGTTTGAGAATATTTTGCAGTGACAATCCACGTCACTTTGCGTTGCATGTGCTCTGAAACCACTTGTTAATCTCTGTGCTTGCAATCGCGCTTCAGTGTGGAAGCTGAATGCGATAATGGCTTCTCGCACTTACGACTCTAACTTCTTGAAGCAATTTTGGATCCCCAACCACGTTCTCATGCCGGAATCTAAGGTTGAAGATAGCGTGATCGATCCTGATGGACCTAAGTGTCCGGTGCTCGTTTTCGTTAACTCAAAGAGCGGTGGTCAGCTAGGAGGGAGCCTCTTGGAAACGTATCGTGCGCTTCTCAGCGAAAAACAGGTGTTGTTGGTGTGCAATCTTTCTAGAATGTTTGAATTATTGATTTTGTTGTGCATGATTGAGTGGTTCGTGTGATTTTTAGGTTTTTGACTTAGGGGAAGAGGCTCCTGATAAGGTTCTCAGCAGAATTTATGCTAATTTGGAAAATCTGAAGGTCCAGGGTGATCAATTTGCTATAAGGACGATGGAAAAGTTGAAATTAATTGTGAGTAGAGATTTGTTTTATCAGTTGATGTTTTAACAAGCATTGAAGTTTTTGAATTGCGGATCAATTCACAGCTGCAAATTTTAGATTTTTTTTTTCAGCAAGCAATTTTATATGCAAATGGTTTTTCCTTTTTTTAACTTTTTCAGGTTTTGATACGTAGTTTGTCTTTAGGTTGCAGGGGGTGATGGAACGGCTGGATGGCTACTTGGAGTTGTTTGTGATCTCAAATTATCTCATCCGCCACCCATAGCCACAGTTCCCTTGGGCACAGGGAACAATCTACCATTTGCATTTGGTTGGGTAGGAAATTGCATTCCTATATTAAGTGCTTTTCATGAAACCTTTTACATTTAAAATATTATGGTGACTCTACCATGCAGTTGCAGTTTTCACCTAGAAGGTTTTAGTTGTCTTGATTCCTGCTCCTCGTTGATTAAGCATATTATGCTGGTTTATTCCTGAACGTTTTGCATGTCTACTATTTATCTTTTTAAAAAAAATGGGTATCCAGTGTTTCCCTGTATATATTAAGATTTGTGGCTCCTACTATGTCCTTCTTTTGAGTGGAAGTTGAGGAAGTTTTCTTCAGTTCAGTAGTTGCTGTGACAGTGATCATAAAATATTATCAGAAAAGTCTTAAAAAAGAAAACTACTGAATTCATATTTTCTGCTGCTTTATTACAGGGGAAGAAGAACCCAGGGACAGATGAACAATCGGTCATGTCATTTCTAGAACAAGTAATGAAAGCTAAGGAAATGAAAATAGACAAGTAATGAATTTCAGTTCAGATCTTTCATCTTATAATTATTATTCTGCTGCTCTGCGACTTAAATAGCTTATCTTTTAATCTATAATAGCTTACCTTTTAATCTATACTTCCGTTTCCTTCCTACTATATAGGAAATTCTTCAGGCATGCTTATTATTGAATGTTATAAAATATGTAGGTTGCCAGGTTATGATTGCAAATCTAATTGAGTACAAGTCAATGAAGTTGTAGAATTAATTGTTTATCCAGATATCCAAACTGAAAATTTATGATTTCCTTTTTTATTTCTTAATTTAATTAACATTTTTCTGGATACCATTTCAATATGATATTCAGTTGTTAATCTTAAACTATCATGCTAGCAGTTGTTTGACATTATTATTTTCATTCACTCTTTTGTGTTCATTATGTTCTCTTATGGGGAATTTTAGTCATTACTCTAGTTTAGTAGGATTACTTTATTTCTTCTACCAAATGTTGTTTGCTGATAATTGGGTCTGTTTTTCTGAACTTTCAGCTGGCACATTCTTATGCGGATGAGGGCTCCAAAGCAAGGTTCCTGTGATCCAATTGCACCTCTTGAGTTACCACATTCTTTGCATGCTTTCCATCGTGTATCTGAGGCAGATGAACTCAATATGGTGAGATTAAGAAATTATACCATTCACTATTTTGCAATCTTCTACTGCATCCTGTTCATGTTGACTAGAAAATATATTGTGAAACTTCAGAAATTTCAAGGAAATATACTTTGAATTTCATATTCTATATTCTATGATTTGACTGGAATTTGGCTTAGCTACAATCAATGGGGGATGTCTTCTTTAAAGGATGACCGGATGATATAGTGTTTATAAGTTATAACTAAATTGTATTAACTGCTGACTAAGGGATGATTTGTTTTAAACTACTATGACATGAGCCCTGTTTTCCTTAAGCAAAGACAACAACATATGTGCATATTTAATATTTTATCCTTGTTTCCAACTAAAGGAGTTTACATAATAAAAAAGGAGGGGGACATAAAAGTAGTTCTTCATAAATGTTTTGTTTCAATCTTAGATTATACAAGTTTTGGCTTGTTTTCTACTCACTGTAATTCCTTGTGCGGTTGTTTCTTATTGATCCTCAGGAAGGATGCCATACTTTTCGTGGGGGATTTTGGAATTACTTCAGCATGGGTGAGATTAGTTTTTCCAGAGTTCTTTTTACTTTAATTTTACATTGCTGACGTAACAATTTCATATTCCCCTTATGGAAGAATTAGTTGATTTATTTGGCACTTCAGTATAATATTGAATTTTGTGTTTTTCACATCCGTGGATCTGGGTTAAGAGATATCAAATTATGACAATGTGATCCAATTTAAATTAATTTTAGCAATAAAACTTTTACTTTTTCACATAAGCGGAAAAGTATGAATATGTAATGATGGAAACGTGATTTGGATAATGTTATGTTTGTATGCTGATTAAGTGAAATGCATTGATTAACTTCATCATTGGTGTTACTTATTTTTAGCTTGAGTATTCTTAGCTTCTCTTAGAATGTTTTTTTATCATAGAAATAAAATAGATCAGGGTCTATTTTTTTCCTTTATTCCCTCAATCCATCTACTTCAATTGTCGTTAAACAATCTATGACTTCTAACTATAGGAATGGATGCTCAAGTGTCTTATGCATTTCATTCTGAACGAAAGTTGCATCCTGAAAAATTCAAAAATCAGTTGGTCAATCAGGTAAATTTTTTTTTTACACTAAAGTAAATACAGAAAAGCATTGCATAGAAAGTTGGTGACAATACTATTTTGACTTTCTCACTCTTGATTGGAAAGCCTATATGGTTTTAGACCATGTAGATGTACTTTCAGCCACTTTTATTTTGTGATTGATTTTGTTGCTCTGATTTCAATCATGTCAGAGTACTTATGCTAAGCTTGGATGCACACAAGGATGGTTTTTTGCTCCTCTGTTCCATCCTCCTTCCAGGTCAGTTCACGTTAATCTGTCCATGGATTGAATAAAGAACTCCTTTTATGGATATAGGTGGTTTTTGCCCACCACAGTAAATTCACGAACCAGCTAATATAGGACCATATAAATTCATAAAAGTTCATGCTTTTAATACATGCTGCATGAGTTGCATTGGAAATCTATTGATGAGAATTAGTTAAATCTGCACCTTGCAACCGGTTCTCTGATTAAATATAAGTGTATCTTGAGCTTCATGAATCTTCAGAATGCTGCATTCTTTTCCATCCCACTATGAATTTGTGGTCACCAGTTAATTTGGTACTACTTTGCGCAGCTTCACCATCAAGAACCTACTGTTGTACTCATAAATGATAGGCTCAAAGGATAGATCACTACTGAAATTTCCTTTATTTAGCATTCTCTAAAGTTAGACAGATAGCATTTTCTGATTCAATCTCAAAAACATGTAGTGTCTTTGTTGCTGGCTAAGTTAGTGTCTACATGAACCTTCAATGGACGTGCTACTATGATTGAGGAAAACTCTGAATTCTAAAATATACTACAATGCCATCTTAACAATTGGGTCATGCCTGCATCATTTGATGCCCCAGAATCAAATGAAGTTTATTTTTCAATATTCAAGTTTCACTAAACCATTTGTCTGGCAGTCGTCGCCCTTGTTGGAAGTTGCTATTATGAGCTTTGGCAATGCTGTCGTTGGTAGTGATTGGAACCAGCCAACTACAAGTTGTATCAGTGAAATCATAAATTAAACTCAGTAGTGTTCTTCTTTGATATTTTTTTGCTTATTGGGATTCTCAAGTCTGATGAGTCTTATTTAATCCAGTCTATAGTTTGGAATGTGCAATGATGCATATTGAGACCTATTTTCATTGAAATATCATAATTAGAAAGTTCTTTAGGATTTTTCCATCTGTTCAAATGTCAATTTAAATAATATAATGGTTTTAAATCCAGATGGTGCTTGCTCTAGGAGAATGAGAACAACTCTAGTCATTTGAATGTTATATGCAGTATTTTAAAAATTCGACTGGCCAAATAACCCATGAAGACACTAATTCACCACTTATTGGCCCATTTGTAGTCAAATTGGAAATAATTAAATTTGTGTTTGGTATTATATAATATATTAAGTAATGACTCGGCTGGTTCACCAATTTTCCAGTTTGACTGGCTGATCTAGTTTGGTTTTTCAGTCACTAGTTGTATGCAGTTTTTCATCAACTTTTAATACTGATTTGATTGGTTCATGGTACATGCATATGAACAAAACACAATATTCTTCATAGCTCCATCTTAAGCATTGTTTTAATATATATTTTTTACTAAACCAGTGAAATATGTTTGATCTTTGAATGCAGGAACATAGCACATCTTGCAAAAGTAAAGGTCATGAAATCGCATGGTCATTGGGAAGACCTGCACATACCTTCCAGGCAAATCATTTTCTACACTCATCCATGACTTTCTTTCTACTTTCTTTTTTTTTTTTTTGGTATTGGAGGTGTAAGCACTTGAGTAGTGGGGGGAAAATATAGTCTAGTGGTGGATTGAACCTCTGACACCAACATCATACCAAAGTCCTTAAAACTTGGACCAACGCCAATTAAGCAACAAGCTCATTGGCATATATCTAAGCAGAACAGAAAAATGAATGTCATAAAAAATTCAGGTTAGCAGAAAATCTTCCAGATCTTCAAATCCCAAGATCCAACACCACACTTAACCATGTTTGATAGTTTTCCAAGTTTCTTGTCATTAAAGTCATGCCTATTCATGTTTTTCAGAGCTCCATTGCTTTTATCACTGTTGCTCTTGTTGATTATTCGATTATTAGTGTCTCATCACATTGGCAACTTACTGAGTATGGACCTTTTGCGGTTAAAAGGCCATTAAATCAACTTCCTTTTTGTTCACATGCTGTTCTTTCGGCTCCAGTTTACTTCTGGGATCACATCTGATGCTTTTCTTAACCCTCTTTCTCTTTTATATACAGCATCAGGTCAATTGTATGCCTTAACTTGCCTAGCTTCTCTGGTGGATTAAATCCATGGGGTACGCCAAACAAGAAGAAGAGTAGTGATGTAAACTTCATAAGCTAATTCTGAAATAATTTATTTTGTACAATATTTTTCCCGTTAGTTTTAAGGTCAAGTACCGGTAGTTTTAGTAACTGATAACCAGGAGTCTAATATTTTAAGGCAATCCTGTTTTCAAAAACCGAAACTTATGCTATCTCGATTGAATACAGAGAGATTTGACACCACCTTATGTAGATGATGGCCTTATAGAGGTGGTTGGTTTTAGAGATGCTTGGCATGGGCTTGTTTTGCTTGCTCCAAATGGACATGGAACTCGTCTTGCTCAGGTACGTGGGTACACACTTGCATTTGTACTTTTTGATACTCAGATTACACCGTTCTTCTTTTAAATCAAATTTTATTTTTGAAATATTTTCCAAAAGTGGATTGCACAGTTACGAGATTTTTGTACTTATTATTTTAAATTTGAAATGGCTTCAAATTATCTTGGTATTAGGCACACAGAATCCGCTTTGAGTTTCACAAAGGTGCGGCAGATCACACATTCATGAGGATTGACGGGGAACCTTGGAAACAACCCCTACCGGTTGACGATGATACTGTTTTGGTGGAGATATCTCACCATGGCCAGGTTAACATGCTCGCCACTCATGATTCCAAGGCTAAAAGTGTGAATGATCCATCATCACCATACCATAATGATGTAGAGGAAGATGATAGTGATGATGAAGACTCCAAAGCAGATGAATTCCGGAAGTTTGGTGCGGCAGATACATTTAAAATCCCAGATGAAGTAGACCTTGCTCATCTTAGTTAGGTCTTACAAGCCATTCTTTAGCTATGCAGTTGAAATTGCCTGCCTAGCTGTTAATTAGGACTTCGATAAATATTAATTGTCGTTGCCCCTATCAAATGTATCACCTATTTGCTCTATTGTAGCAGCGTTATGTCTGTATGATAATAATCGTAATTAAGAATTTAGATGCAATAATTTCTTTGTTGTCAACTATTTTGCATGTGACATCTATACCGATTTATCATATATCTATTCCTGAAACGCAGGTTGTTATGCTGTCATATCAGGGGTTTTACTTCACATTGTTTTTGTCACGTCGACAAACAATTTCTGTTTGTTACCAATCCCTTTCTTTCTACTAGAAAAAAATCTCATCGTTTTTTTACTATCTCTTTTATTCTATTTCTATTCTGAAATAGTAAAAGAATTTAAAAGATATTACTTTTTCTTTGCAAAACTGAGGCATGACGTAATGTATCACTTAAAAAACTTTCAAAACATCGCTTTTTTCACAAATTAGGAAGAATTATAATTTTTCTTTCTATTTTGGTTAAATGAATTATTTGGTCTCCATTAAAAAAAAAACCCACAACTAACTTTTGGTCCTTAGATGAAATTAATGATTGTTGCATTTGCATTCCTTTTCTTTAAATTCATTATGGTAACGTTAAACAGATGCTGACTTGTGGATTTAGTCCTTACTAATCTGTGACGAAGCAGAAACATGGGTTGTGGAATCGACATATAGCCTCTATCATATCATCCCTTATTTTAAAGCCACAAGGCATAATCTAAATATTCTTAATTTTTCATTGATTTTTTTTCAAGTCCTTGCACGACGGTTATGTTGTCATCTTAACGATATAGCAAGTTTGTAACCCTAAATCATATGATATGCGCTTTATTTTGTAACAAGCTATTCTTTTTTTCTAAATCTAATGTTTTAAACACGGTTTTTTTTTTCCTATGTTTATAATAATAATTGATAGTCAAACATAATAATGAATATTACAAGAAAAAATCATGAAACATTTGATTAGTTAGAACCATCATATATTTGTGTGAGCATGATAATAATATGCAAATTGCATTTATTGTTTTTTTTTCCTATGTTGTACAGCTCATTTATTTATTATTTTATACTTTAATGGAATATTAGTAAATGGCTTATCACATTTAAAATTTGTGTCTTCTACAATTTTGTTGACAACCATGTTTAAAACCAGTACGACTTCCACAATTTCCTAATCACCATATATGGAGCAAATCTATATATGGGTATTTCTGTCTGTTATCAATTCTTCTGCACTTTTCTGTCTGTTATCACTGCTGTTACCACTCCTTTCTTGCTTCTATCACCTCTTCTTAGTTCTCTTGCAGTTACTTGTTTTTATTCTTGTAAGTTCTTGTTCTTGTTCTTGCTATTTCTTGAGAAGCTTGCCAACAATTAAGACATATCATCATCAACGTTATCATTGTTATTGTTCTTGCAATGTCTAATTCGTACAATTTCTTTTGTTTGTTCTTACAATTTCCTTCTCATTTTTGCAATTTCTTGTTCTTGTTTATATTCTTGCAGTTTTCTTTATTCTTGTTTTTGCTGTTGTCGTAATTTATTGTTCTCTTTCTTGTAGTCTTGCTATTTCTTTTCGTTCCTCATGTACTTTCTTGTTCTTGTTTTTGTTGTTCTTGTAACTTCTTTACTTGTTCTTGCAATTTCTTGTTCTCATTCTTGCTGTTGTTTCAATTTCTTGTTCTTCTTGTAATTTCATGTTCTTGCAATTTCTTTTTCTTCTTCTTGCTATTTATTTTCCTTGTCTTGCAATTTCTTGTTCTCATTCTTGCTGTTATTGCAATTTCTTTTTCGTGTTCTTGTTCTTATAATTTGTTTTTCTTGTTCTTCAAATTTTTTGTTCTTGCAATTTCTTGAGAAGCTTGCCAGAAAGACATCATCATTATTATTCTTGCAATTTCTCGTTCTTTTGCAATTTCTCTTGTTCATGCAATTCCTTATTCTTGTTCTTGCTATTTCTTTTCCTTGTTCATGCAATTTCTTGTTCTCATTCTTGCTATTGTTGCAGTTTTTTTTTCTCCTTCCTGTTGTTCTTGTAATGTTTTCTTCTTGTTCTTGCAATTTCTTGTTCTCATTCCAGTTTTTCTTACGTTTATTTTTCTCGTTCTTCTTGTTCTTGTAATTTTTTGTTCTTGTTTCTTGATCTTAAATTTCTTGCTCTTGTTCTTGCTATTTCTTTTTGTTGTTCCTACCATTTCTTGTTCTCGTTCTTGCAATTTTCTTGTGCTTGCTTTTTGTTTTCTTTGTTCCTTCAATTTCTGGTTCTTGGGGTGCTATGTGTTATTGTATTTTTACTGTAGATCAGGAAAAAAAGTACATAAATGACAGCTAAAATTGAAATAGCCAATTTGGAGTTTATGCTGTTATAATCAATTTGACCAATTTGATCAGATTTAGCAACAAGGAAACCTGAGCGACTGCTCGTGTGGCTGTCTTTCTGTTTGGGAAATGTATATTTCTTTATTCAGATTTTGTTGAACTCCCTAGACAGACAGACAGGTTTACTTTGATAAATTGTATTATTGAATGGTTATTATGAATAAATGCATATCTATTCTAAACGGTTTGTGATGAATCTTTACTTATTTCTTGTAAGCATGATTTTGAGTATACTTTGCAGGCAGGATATCCTTTATTTTTCTAATTGCTTATACATAATTTAGGTGCGTTTAATGTTCTATGAAATAATTTCAACAATAGATACAACATTTATAACTTGTGTAATGAAATTTGAGTGCTACATAACAATGTTTCCTTTCCTAAGAAGTAATGTTACATTGAGGTTTATCTTTCTTTTGGGTCATCTGTTCCTGTTGTTCATAATTATGCTGATGCTTATTTGCTTCGTTAATATCTAGTATCCTGAAAGTTTGACATAGAGTGTTAAGCCAAATTCCAGAATTTGAAACCATTTGATCAGGTTACTGGGAATTTTTGCAATTTTATCTGTTGTGCAAAAGGTCCACAGAAAAAGGAAAATTTGAAGCTGAATACAGTTTATTATATTCAGTATTCAACTGTTGATCCACGAATATCAAGGTGATTAGCATAAAAGAAGGAAAGGCTTACAAATTAGATAGCGATTTCTTTTTTAACTGATACAATATTGACTAGGAACGTGAGAAAGACAGAAGTGATCTGAAATTGAATTGAATATATAGTGTGTACAAATTACAGAGATACATGTAAGAAGTTGTAACTTAACAAAATGGAAGATAACTTACTGCTATTGCTAACTAAAATAACTAAAACACAATTGATTAACTAATTATATTTGTTGTATGGTAAAATCGTATTCTCATTTCAGACCAATCAAACAAAGGTATACACAAATATTTCCCTGTTAACCAGTCGCCGCGTTTTAAAATTTAAATCACTGTTAAACATATTCATTAGATTTTGTGGACTTATTTATACCCAAAATTCTATTATCAGTAGTGATACAGTGGATAAGAGTACTAAGATAAGAACTTCAAAATCGATGCAATCCTCAAAAGTTCCGTAAGTCATTAATGTGAAAAGCAGCACCAACTCTAGCGAAGGACGGATCTGATCATTTATCAAAGGATGGATTTAAGAATGAAGTTGGTGTTATTTTATTTAATTTTGATTGCACGAGAAGCTTGATTAGTCATTCACGTTGATCATTATGAGAAGATCAATAGAGAAACATCATCCAACTAAAAGGCCTGAAACAAAATGTAATCTTCCTCTAGTAATGGAATTCTTGCATTTAGAGGACCTGATTTAACATTCTTTATTGAGCAGAATATGCAGAAAAAGAGTAAGGCAAGGAAAGCTTTACGGCTGAAACAATAATTATTGCATAACAAACTTTCGTCTTGTGTCTGTTCTTGATGCTGCATTCTATAGAGAAGACCCACCCGTTTTTAGTTGAAAGGAAATCAGATATGTCAAAAGATTTAGGTACTTTGCAACTTCATTTTCAAATAACACAGATTGAATGTCAAAATTAGTTAAAAGTTACCTGTCAGATGAGTATCATTGCTCCAGTTATACTTTTTGGTGCTATATTCACAAAAATCATCTAGGATATAGGAAAGGAGTTTGAGTTACACTTTTATTATCTTGAAATTTATTGATACCGATGATTCCATGAACAATTATGATGTTAGTCAACCCTTTCATTCAGTGAAAGAGAAAGTAGAAATCTTGGAATCGACGTAAAATGCTCATATGGAAATGAAATCAGGCAACTTAAATTAGAAATCAAGAAAAATGAAAGAAATTGTGAAACACGTAAATATGGATAAGAAACGAACTAACAAAGCACTTAGTGAAAATTTCCCTGAGATTCTCCTAGTGAGTATTTCCTTATATTTAGAGTTTAGAGAGTGGTTATATATATTATTATATTTTTTTCACTTAATAAAAATATTCCTTTGATATTTCTCACAATTTTTCCCTTAAAAATTGAGAGATTTTCATATTAAATATTGTGTTAATTCATAATTTTTTCAACTCCATTTTAACTGTGATATTATTTTGTACTTTGATACATAATAAGACACATTTAACATAATTCAACATGTTTTGCTTATGTTTAGAAACTCCGAATATAAAACAAAATTACAAATCTTCTCTTAACACACTATCCAAGTTTACATTACATTCAAAAGACTACATATAAAAAAAATCATAATAAATTTTAAATTTATAACCTTCTTACTTTCCTTTCAAATTTTTTGATGTTAAACTAAAAAAATAAGCTCATTTTAGCTTGACACAGATTACTTCCACTTATTATTTCGGTGAACCAATCACCTTCATTTGGAGAGAATTCAGGATTGAATATGCTCTTTTAATATATGCATGGATATGGAGGAGGGAAGCACCAGACGTAAGACAGTGTGCTAAATGATTAATTCATCAGTAGTCTCGGGAAGAAAGAACTAACTATTAACATTACTATAAAAGGAGTGTGAAGCACATTTTAGTATAGATTAGCGATTAATGATAGCGACTTTTAACAATGAATATGGTATGTGAAGGGTGATAGACACGCTGAAATGCATTCATACTTGCCTTTGAGAACCACGAAATACATTTGTGACAAGAAAAAAAAAAATACGAGCAATCGAGTTGGACGGATAAAAACCAGTTTTGGTAAAACAAGGATTTAGGTGGATCACCATGAGTCCATGACCGAAGATTACAACTGTAAAATCAAGAATTTGATTTATTTGAAGTGCAGTAAACATTATACAAAAAAAGTTGTATAGTAAATAACAGTTAACTATAAAATAAAAATTTGAGATTATAACAACTTGCAATTTATTTAACATTTACATGTATTTTTATCTAAATCTCAATCTGATATTTTTTAATCAACTGTTATTACGATATTTTATCCTGAAGTACATCCTACCCTTTAGATGAGTAAAACTCTGCAAAATCAAGATGATAGAAGTGTTGACTTTGCTTATCCAACTCATTAATGGATTAACAAAAAAGCATGTCAAGGATAAGAAGTCTCCACTAGGAGATCGTTTCAGAAGACCATAGCTACAGACCAGGCAATTCTTGTCCCAAACATTGTGTGATGGCCTCGTTAGTCTTTTGTGGTTCAGCCCTTTCTTCTCTTTTCTTCTTCTCCCTGAAGCAAAATATCATTTCAATGAACCGAAATCTTGCTAAGGAAAACAAGCATGTTATAACTGTAAATCTGTCATATTTAGTAGTACAAGAATTTAGGTACTAAAGTACATAGACTTCGACCGGGAGCTTAATTTATTGACCACTGAGCAGATGGAACATCAGATTCGTTTAGGGCTCTATAGTAAAATAAATTTTGAACTTGAGACTATTGTTTTCACTTTTCAATTCGCCACCAAAACTTTTCATTCTCATGTTTTCTGAAATGGCTACTATGGACAGAATGTTGAATTTAGGTGCGTATGAAAACATAATTAAGTACCTGTTCAATAAATTATTTTTATATGAGGACTTATCCGATAAAGTTGACCATATATTTTCTTAGAATAAGCTAAAAATACTTATTTTGATAAGTTATATTGAGTAGCATACTGAAATAAGCTGAAAAATATATACGAAAGCTACAAGTTATTTCTATCAACTTTCTGGAAGTTCTTCTAAATGCCTTCTCTGTCTCAACTAAACTTAGTAAAGTTACAACTGCGAACTTAAGGTCAAGCAAAACATCTCAAATTTAAATTATAAGTTAATCAGATGTTCAAATTAGGGTCCCAAAGAAATTAATATTTAATATAATTGCAACTTCAAACTCATGGCAATGTGTGGAAAAGAAAATTCAGAAGTTTTAACATTCACCAATAATACCTCAAATGGAAAGCTATGAGATTGAATGGTTCATTGGTTTGATGTTTACCTGTCAACATACTCCTTTAGCAGCTCTTTTGCTTGAACCAACTTTGAAAGCAGATTACGATACACGTCCAAGTCCCGATCAACACTTCTTTTGTTGATGTTCAAAGCAGCACAAAGCTGTTAAGTTGACATCAAAGATTAATTGATAATAAGTACAAACATTACTTAGGATGTATGACTAGAAATTTTACAATCTTTATATGTAGAGCAATCCTTGGAGGGAGACAGATCAGATCAAAGATATCATTAATCGCTTCAAAATATGTTGCAATTTCATTTTTTTGTAGTTTGCTAGAACTTATGTACATAAGAACTAGACTTGGTAGGTTCAACTTCAATTTTCAAAAACAAAACACTACAAAAAATGATATCAGTATTTAATAAAAACAAATAACAAGTCATGATGTCTCAAATGAATTTGTTAACCTTTTCCAAAATTGTTGGTTCTGTTGCATTCGCCAACTCAAGAAGCCGAAAGAGACCTACTGCAAAGAAACGACTATAACTGAATCCCCCCTTTCCTCCTGCTCTTTCTGCAATATCCTTTAACATCCCTTCAACTTCTCCTCCTTTGGATGAAAACTCAACCAGGGTAGTTGAGTTTTGAGCCCTAGCCCACTCTTCCAACTTCTGTGCATCCATTCTGTAGAAGGTAGTGTGAAATATCATTTTGTGTGAGATTAAAAATGACACAGATAATGCTGCTTTTATTTCTGCTAGAAGATTTTCTTTCACAAACATTTTCTTTAGATAAAACTATTTCTAGCGACTAATGCACAGATCAAAATTTTCATAAACAATCAGGGACATAAATAATACTATGATGATAGCTTAGTTCAAATGCAATAAAATTGTTCAAAAACTCTATCAGAATTAATTAATCAAGCGGGATATCATTCCATTACACCACCTTCCTCTTCAATTAATAATTCAAGGTGAACATAGTCTGCAGTGGCTTACAATTGTTATTTTTCAATAATTTAGTCAGAGGTTTGGAGCAGGAATCACAAAAAGAAATAAAGAGAAGAACAAATTCCTCAATCTTCTAACCTATATTTTTCTGGATCTTCCTTCAATGCTTTAATGTATGCTTGGAAGATGGCATCTCGGTCCTCATCACTAGGATACCCTTCCATGAGTTTATCATATACAGTGACAAAACCAAGAGCAAACACAGGGTCATAGCGGTAAGATCTCTTGTATCTCATTAAATGTTGCTGGACCATGAGCTCCTGCAGTGTGGTGTTGTAGATACTAGGGATTGGTCGCTTATATGCCTTGAGGAAATTTAACTTTGACTCAGAAACAGTAGGAACATCTGCAGATCATGCAAACACATGAACAACTATTGATAACAAGGTTCATTTTCTACTTTTATTTATTCCTCCCTTTCTAGCAGTATGTCTTAGAACTTAGCTCCTGTTTGTTTTAGCGATAAAAATTCAACTTTTATATATTTTTTTAGAACAGACATTTTAATTTAAAATTGAGATTAATTTGATTACATACACTAATAATTTAAAATTAATTTTATAAAAATTCATACTGCATTTTTAATGAAAACACACATTTTAATATAAATTTAAAACTGAGATTAATTTTTTTATATGGTATAAGTATCATTTATAGAAAGTAATCTTGTTCAATGAGATTAATTTGATTACATATCACCAAGTTTATAATAGATTGTGAAAATAATTTATGACCCAAACTTTTTTTATTTTATTTAATAAGTTAATTTTCACTTATCTCAATAAATCTTATAATTAAATTTATTATATAAATTATCATTTTAAAAAACTGATTCAACAAGTGCTTCAATTTTGGTGAATGGAAAGCATATTTTCCAGCAACCAAAAAAGGGTCCAAAAAATTTCAGCACGTCAATCTATTCAGCTTAATGCCAAATCGTACAATCATATATCTGAATGGGGGTACCTACTAATAGAAAGAAACCCATGTAGTTTCAAGAACCCTCTTCCTTTTTAAAACCAGCTGTCTACCTGTTTATGATATCTTTTCTGCAACTCATATAAAAATTCAGTTTTTTTGCCTCCACTTCATTTGGTTTTTCTCTGAAGCAAGTCCTAAAACATGGGGGGAAAATTACATCTCTTTCCTCACACTTGATGTAAACAAAACATAGACACGAACCTGAAGCAGAAGACATGCTTTGAACAACCATCTTAGACGAGGAGTTAGAAGCTCGAACATCCACATAATGGTACGAGAAATGGGTGGGGAACCCCAAGAGTTCTGAACAAGAAGCCAGAAAACGAGTGGAAGAGAGGGTCACTTTTCTTTCTGAGGAATGAATCAGTGCTGAGAAAGAGAGAGAAGTGAGAGCCGCCATGGGTGGAAAAATGGAAGTAGCAGAAGAGAACAAGAGAAGCAATCACAAAGTGTCCCTCATGATAGGACAATGTTCAGAGGTGACTTGCATTGCTTTCAAACGTATGTGTTGGAAACAAAGCACAAGAAAAAAGCTTATCCACACCCTGAAGTCTCAAACTGAAACCGAAACCGAAACCTCTTTTTGTCAACTTTCCAAGGAGCCGCTGACATAATGACACGTTGAAATTTGGCGGGACACTGCTTTCTTTCTAAACTATGATATAAAAATATTACAATTTTCTCCAACAAGTGTATGGAGTCCCGCCATGACCAATATCAAAGGTGCAATTTTTCAATCTAGTTTTTTGAAGTCCAAATATATATATAATTATTTTCAATTAGAATATTTTATAAGCATAAGTATTTTAATTTTTAATTTCAGTCTTTAAAATTAAGTTTAAGTATAAAAATAAATAAAATTTTATTAAAATATTATTATATTAAAAATATAAAAAGTAAAATAAATACTTATATCAATAATAATTTGTTATTTTTGTATGTTTAAAGTCTCATAAAATTGAGATTAACAAAAAATAATAATTTTACTTCGTATATTCATTTTCTTTCGAAAATAAAGTATTTTCAGTTTGTCAAGAGTATATACTTCTTCCGTTAAAGTCATAATAACTGGTATATATAATTATTTTTTTAATTTTAATTTTCTTAAATGAAAAATAAAATTAATAATAATAACTAACAAAAGAGTAAATGCTTGGAAGAGCCAATCGGGAATTTTGAAATTTCTAATTGCAATTATAAGAGACCTCGTTGACTAACGAGTATTTACTCAACCTCTTTTATCGAAAGGGTTGTATAAATTTCTCTATTTTATACGTGGTTATTCCAAATATTTTTGTATAAATTTCTCTCATTTTATACGTAATTATTCTAAATATCTTTCAAAAATAAGTAATTGTATGAAATATAATTTTATTTCAATTTATAATATAATAAGTTTCATTCTTAATCAATTATCATACTAAAGAAAAAAAATTATATACCAACGAAAGTTAGTTTTAAGTAATAAGCCACTCAATATCACTTAAGTAAAATATTAAATTTAATTCCTTGTGTATGTAAAAAAAGAAATTAATAATAAACTCACTTACTTTTGATATTTGAAAGGAATATCAGATGTTGATCTTGTATGTGGAGCTTATACAAATTGTTATCTTGCACGTATTTAGACTAAGACTATGCATCTGAATTGGATAGAAAAAATCCATTTGTTTGGGATAAGGAAAATTTTCTAAGTTAAAAATCATTTTGAAGGAAACTACATTTCAACAAGTTTTGAGGGTCAAGAAGGAACAAAAGATAAGCTTGAACATAAGAGAATATTAGAAGATCTTTGGTTTTAATTAAAAGGAACACATTTCGAGCTATTTTAGGAGATTTTTGTCACGTTGTGGATTTTTCTCTAAATTGCTTGAAAGACAAGAAAATATTCTAAGACCACAAAATTAAAGGCTTTTTCGAGAAGTTTTGAGGAGTTTTTAAGTCACTGACACCCAAAACTACTCGAAAAATAGAACTGGTAAGAAAATATTCCAAGTCCACAAAACTGATGGTTTTTCGAGGAGTTTTCAAGTACCTAACACCCAAAACTGCTCGAAAAACAGGATTAACAGGAAAATATTCTAAGTCCACAAAAACTGATGGCTTTTCGAGGAATATTTGAGGAGTTTCCAAGTACCTAACACCCAAAACTAGTCGAAAAGCAAGAAAATATTCTAAGTCCACAAACTTGGCTGAGCTCCAGATTTCCTCCAGAATTGCTTGAAAAACAGAAATAAGCAAAGAAAATGTTCTAAGTCCACAAGATCAAGACAGACTCTCAAAACTCCAGGATGGCTCGAAAAGAGAAGTTAAGAAGAAACTATTCTAAGGCCATAACATTAAAAGAGTCTCCTAGGTTTCTCTCAGAAATACTCGAAAGATAGGAGTATTGAAAAATTCAAAAGCGGTTACCAGCAATTATCAACATTCACCACTACGCAAAGGAGATCATGGGCAATAGCGGTTACAGCCCCAACAAATAGCACGATCACAAGCAATCGTGGATAGTGAGCATCAACAGTTGAAGGCAGTTACTGAGAAGTGCCCGCAAAAGGAGGAAAACGGTGGTGATCTTCATGTCTATAAATACTCCAAAGCACTATTTCACAGCGGACGACTTTTTGCACCCTGACACCGCACCTAAACTCTCTGAGACGCTGAAACCCTGCACCGCGCCAGACACCAGCTACAAGGAGACATAACGGTTGTTGTTGTTCATTGCTAGGAGTCGTACGTTTACATTCACACACCTTTACATTCTTGCATTTACATTTCCGTATTTTAATTCTAGCTTGATGCTTATTTCAATTATTGCAATTCATTTCCTATTTAGCACTTTCTGTAAAGAACATCTACATTTGATTCAATTCTGCCCATTTATTATTCACTATTCTTGCTTAATACTCTTTTACACCGTTAATTTGAGCATCACGTTAACAAAACACTTAAAAGAACCCAAAGAGAACCTAAATGCAGTCCCCAGATTGATCTTTAAATTATTTGTTTACAACTATCATTTTTCACCGTAAACACCATTACAATTATGCTTTCACCATTGAAAATTCTTTGGTGAGTTCGAAAGTCACTTACAACCTTCAATTGCATTATCTATACCTTAACAAAAGCAGCCAAGCCAAGAACATGCTTTGACCTTATGTGATTTGAATGTCATATGCTAGGCAAAAGATCAAGTCTAGTGTGAAAGAATCAAACATGATTTTATATATCACTTTACAAAACCTATTCCTAGAATCAAGTTTATGTATTGTTTGAACTTTCTTAACGTTGACTATTGGAAATAGTCCTTTGTGACTGGCGGTGGCGAATCTTATAGCAATATTTACGTAGCTTAGAGGTTCCAATGGAAGGTGAAGATTTGTGGAAGAATACCTTGAACTTCTCCTCTATTGGTTATGTACAAATATAAGTTAAAGTAGTGATTATTTTTTGTTATGATAGTTATTAGTTTCTATTTCTTGGCACTCTTTATATAAGGGATCCTAAATCATCTTTGTAATTACTATCTCTATACTATTATTTAAAAACATAGTAATTCATTGTCTCTGTGTATGTAGTCCAAATTCTTATAGGATGAACCACATAAATTGCTTGTCTTCTTTTCCTTTTCATCTTTGTGATCTATCTTTTTTGTCTGTATTATTATTTTCTATTCTTATTCGTTGCATTTTCATAAAAGTATTCATATATACAAAATTATGTTATTCTTTTAGAAGATTAATCCTACTTTTTAACATAAAAAACATAAAATGAAGTAATGTTCTTTTTTATTTTAAAGCAATTCTAATATTTAAACAATTAAAAATTAAAATTATATAAAATATTATACTTAAGTTTGTTGTATCAAATCACTGATGTAGGTTGAGTCACCACGACATAAATATTGGAGCTCACTTTACTATTGGAGCACATCATTTTTCTCACTTGTCAATGCTTCCATTTTATTAGTACATTCATGATACATTGACTTGGATCCACTATAAGTCACTATCTCCTATATACTAGTCACTTTCTCTAATATTAAACAATGTAGGCTACTTAAATTATACTTGACTCAACAAATTTTTTACTTTTTTTTTCATTATATGTATATAAAAATATACCTAAAAAAGAGAAAACTAAGAAATCAATTACAATAGGACAAATCCCTTGTTGACCAATACAGCGAAGTCTAAGTTCTAGACCTACATGAATTCAACACTTAAAACAGTTCAAATGCTTATTATGAACTATAAGTACATCACTTCAATTAGACATTAAGCAAGCGCTCAACCTATTATAAAATACAGGTATATCACACTAAAATAGAATATCTACTTATTTTAACACGAGGTTGTTTAAGCCCAGAACTCTAATACCAGAGCTGGCGAGGGGAGTAAGGAATGGAGCCTCATAAGTGAGAAACATTAAAATGCAACCAAAAACTTTAAGATAATAGGTGCATCAATCTGCTACTTACATACTCTTAATTTGTCCATATCTCATTTCATGTGAGACTTTATTTATATTTGATTTCAATAAAATTTGGAAAAAAATATTGAAATATACAAGTAGTGCACGTAACGGTTCACTCAGAAATTATATTATTGAGTTGCTCCTCTAAGATGTTGATGAAATTATTCATCTGAGTTCTTTCAAGCGCCAATCCAACCTCAATTCCACCTTTTTTGTCTCTACAATCAGAAAGAGAAATGGATTCTGACGAATCAATATGCACTGCTTCAGATTTCTTAGGCTTACCCCATCCAAAATCAGTCTCATACACGGCCAGTTTTGGTGAGCCCGCAACTACTAACACAGAATTGCAAGGTTTTCTCAATTCTTTATAGTCTGAGAACAATGTTTCAGCCTTTCTCAAAGCATCACTCCTCAAATCTCGGACATGTCTTTCAATAGCATTTGCCCCCTCAATGAAACCATTTTCTCTCACTAGCTCACTCCTCTTAATTGCCACAATGCAAGAAACTAAGCAATTCCCAAAATACGTTGAAGGTAATGAAAATTCAGGACGATCACGACAATCCGCTAGAATCACCAAGTTGCAAAGATCATCACATTCTCTTCCATCGTAGTTGTCTCCGTTGACCTTTGATTTTATCATGCAACCCCAAATCAAGGAGCATGTCACCACAAAGGTTGATATGTGCAATGGCACAGAATCGTGGTTAGCACATTTAAGAGTGACCCATTTCTTTAGTTTGTCAACTTTTTCACGACTCAACACTAGAGTGAACCGTACCTTGTTAGTCAAAACATCTTTCGCTAGCTCTCTAAACTCCATGTTTTTCGCCTGATCACGAATTTGAAGTTCTTCTAAGTAGAGGAGCTTAAGTCCTTTGAAGTCTTTAACTTTGTCCCTTTCGTGGGAAGGAAATGACAAAGAGACTTCAAGAGAAGCCATATCCCCTCTTGCCTTGCAAACTGAGGCCCAAAACTTCATGAAATGATGAAGTGACTTGCCATCGCTAGCAAGGTGGTTGAAAGTAACACAGATGCTAAGTCCATTGTTTGGTAGAACCGTTATTTGGATTGCCATGAGAGGGATCACACGTGTGCCATCCTCCTCAGTACGTGTTGGAGGCAAAGTAGGGACAAGAGGGTGCCAGTTTCGAACATCTTGCGGTGAATCGGATACCAGAAGGTTGAAATCTGCCGCAGACTCAGCAACAGTAAAGGAGAGTGAGTCACCATTAAGGTATCGAATATAAGAAAGATGGAATTGTGGAGGGACAACTATGTTAGAGGCAAAAGGAAAGAAGTGTTGGAGTGTGAGTGAAAGAGATTGTTTGAGAATAGGAAGTGTAGATTCGAGAAAGTGACGAGTGGAATGAGGAAAGTGGTAGAAGAAGATGCGTTGGACTGGCCGGCATAAGAACCATGGAATATCGAAGAAAGTGAGGGGAAGGGTGGTTGAAGGAAGTGAACCTGATGGTGGAGCTACTTGACACTGTTCTATGAGCCTCACTACTGCTTCACCATTGGTTTCATGAGCCATGTTAATGCAATGCTGGTTCTGAAATGAGATGGAGGAGGAGCGGAACACTCAAACAAAGCCTGGTAATTATGGTGGTGGAACAGAGGGACCATGCATGCAACTTGGACTATATTATTGGTTCGTTCCTACGGCTGTACAGGATTTGTATGACAAATGTAAAATGTTTGGCGTTGATGTTTACGCGTGTGGCTGTGTGTGTGTAATACAATGTGGGTTGCTGTTCCGAGGGGATCCGAGGCGTTTGCTTTGATTTCGCAGTAGTCACGTGCATGTACCTTGGTAGACACAGTTTGGAACATTGCCTTAAAGCACCATCACTAATGTATAACTCCTTTCCTTTTTAGTTTCTTTTTTTTTTCAACATATATTTGAGGTATTATAGTAAGAAAGTCCACTTGATCAAGGTTTGTCAACTATTTAAAACTACATTTAACGGAGAAGATATCTTACAAGGATAAAATAAAGGTAAATTCTGTAATATCTTACAAAAAAATTTTAGGATACTGTAGATAAAAAAATTTAACCAATAATATTTAAATGTATATTTAAATAATAAATTTATTTAATAATAAATTATTATATTTATTATATTTAAATAAGTTAAAAAATTATTAAAATTTTCAAATAGAATTAAGACATATTTAAAATTAGACAAACTAAAATTTAAAAATAAAATAATATTATTATATTAATATATTTTTTATATTTTTAATTTTATTATTATTAATATTTAATTATTATATTAATATATTATGTTATATTTTTTTATTAATAATAAATAAAAATTATATTTTATTTAAAATTAAAAATATTTATATACGTAATTAAATAATAAATTATTATATTTATTAAAATTAAATAAACTTAAATTAAAAAATAAAATAATATTATTATATTAATACATTTTTTAGGTTCTTACTTTTATTATTATATTAATGTATTATGTTATAATTTTTTTATTTATAATAAATAGAAATTGCTTAAATATAAATAATATTTTATTTAAATTTAAAAAATTATAAAAAATAAAAAATTAATATATAATATATATAATAAGATCATATAACAAATAATATAAATAATATATTTTTTTTAATTTGTCATGTGTTTTATTTTTATTGGTAAAAAGTTTTTAGGTACGATATTCATAAAAAAAATTTAGAGTACTACATCACACACTTAAAATAAATAGAAACTCACATGACAATTAATGAATCTTATAATTATTAATTATTTTATAGTTTTATTAATCTTAACACTTAGGATTGAGTTTTAAGTATCAAAAATAAAAAAATTATAAAAAATATATAATTATTATATTAAAATTATAAAAATATAATAAATATTTATTTTTTTAATAAAATTTTATTATTATTAACTGTTTATTCTTCATCTTAGAGATTAAAATTAATAAAATCTTTATTTTATTTTCTTATAACAAAAACTAGAAACAAACGTTCTTATTCCTTCACCTCATACAGTGCTGTTTGTGTTTGTGAATGTGAAGTTGTGTCATTTCTAATTAAACAATAAAAAAGTATCAGTTAAATTTTGTTTGGATTGACGAGATAAAAATGAAACCATTTAAAAATTAATAAGATAATTAGAAACAGAAAGAATTGGCATATGATGCAATAAATAGAGCTTATAAATATGAGAGCCTCGATCACCTCCTTGTGTGGTACTGCTAAAATCAAATAAACCGTTGTGCAAACTTTTGTAGATTATATGCTATGATAACTTACTTTATTTTTTCTTTCTAAATGACCCAACTTACTTCACAACTTAGCTCCGGCTAAATCACATATATTGTTTCCCTCATGAACCATAGCAAATAGCCTTTTGTTTTTTCACCTTGGCATTTTTATTCATAACAAGTGATTCTTTTTTACTTCTTTGAAAAATTCTTGTTAGAAGGTCTCAACCGAATTTTGATTTTTAGACCAAAAATAAAATAAAAATAAAAGTGAACTCACAAAACTTTACTAAGCCCCCAATTTGTTTCTCTTTTTACAACTTATCCTTACATATTTGTATAACAACCTAAGAGAGTTGATATTGTCTCATGTTAGCTAGGAATTAAGATTTTAAGGTATTATATATAATGTAAATTTTTCTTATTCACACTTGCTATTTTAACTTTCCAATCAGTATTGTTATTTTGTTTTTGAAAATAAGGATATGATAGAATTTAATGTAAGAGTGGCATTAAATTAAAGAGAAAGGGTAAAGACAGTAGCTAGCATTTGTTTGAAGAAAGCTTATAGGGAAACAAAATTATTTCTCAGTCTAACGTGGAGCGATACTGTTAATCTTATCCCCTTAGGATACACTCTGCGAGTAGTGTTCTTCGCTTCACGTGGGCATATGCCTTCTAATCCAATGCTTGAGGAGAGAACGTGCCTCACGTATTCAATAAGAGCTTTCCATAATTTAAAATGAAAACTCCTTACTATATTTTATTTGTAATTTTCAATGTGACAATTCAATCAATGATTTTAAGTTTCGTACATTTTTGCCCCTTATAATTTATATTTTTAAAAAATTTGTAGCTTTATAAATTTATATTTTAATCCTTATCATTTTATTATGTCTTAATTTTAGTCTTAAAGTTTTTATATATTTTAATCCCTTAATATACTAAGCATTGATTCTAATGATTGTAATTTATAAAATATATATTTTAATATATCGTTAAAAATGAAAATTAAATAAAAAATTAGAATTAAAAACGAAACTGTAAAATACAAAGCACTCAAAATAAATTAAAGAAAATTATCCTCTTAAAGAAGGGTTAATATAGCATAATAGATAACGAAAAGGACATTTTTATAAAAGGATAATATCAAGATTCAATTAAGATAAAGACGCTGTTTTAGTGTTACCTTATTATCTTCGATCAGTTCTCAATATAATTTAGAGAGAATCTTGTTGGCAATCAACATTCAGTGGTCAAAAGTGCCAAAAGAACAATGAATCGTGAATTACAGATGGAACCTTATTCATTTGCATAGTTAATTATTTATCAGTTTCGTGATTGGCCCAAAACACAAACAGATATGGTGATAATAAAATTACATTATGGATTGTGATAGAACAGCAAACAGAGATGGACCCGGCCTTTTCCCCTAAAACATTTTATAAAAATTATATATTTTTTTAAAAATAAAAAAGCATATATGATTATATAATTTAGCTCAATATTTTTTATTAAATAAATAATTAATTTAAAAATTTTCAATGACTAAATTCATTTTATGAATATTTAAAATTTTAAAAATATCTCAATAAAATTATTTTAACATTAACTATAAAATTATGAACCTAAAATTATTTATGTTATTTGAAATTTAATCTATATAATAATGAAGATGATATTTTATAATTTAACTGTTAAGTTAATAAATATAATGTATATAAAAAATTATTAAATAGAATAAATTACTTGGAATTATTTTAATGAATCTCTTTTCATTATTTAATATTTTGAATAAAAATATAAATTTAAATATTTTAAATAAAAAAATGAAACCATCAAAAAAATAAATTAATACTTTTAAAAAATTAGTTAACTATAAAAAATAAAATAAAAAACTAAAATTACATATATATCAAACTAAATATAAAACTGTAAACAGAATTTTTCTTTTTTCTTTTTATCTAACTCAGCATCTGTTTTCAATCACTCCACAGCTTTCTGGCACACTCGTCTATTTATTTTAATTAAATAGGATAAAAAGTTATTTTCATCATAATGCAATATTTTAATTGAAATACAATAAATAGTATAAAAATCATAAAAAATAATAATTATTTTTCGAAAATCATCACTACTATGTTTTATAATATATAAAAATACAAATATTATATAAATTGATAAAATTGAGTGGTATTTTGATATTTATTTATTTATAAACATATATAGTTTTTGGTATGTTAGTTTATTCTTTAATATTATATAAAATTTTAAATTATATTTCTTTATTACTAATTGAATAAGAATTGAATTGCGAGTAAATTATATTACTTTAAATTATATTTCTTTATTACTAATTTAATAAATTTTCTAATTTTTAAATAATTTACTTTAGAGGATATAAGGGTAAAAATGATTAATAAAGTCTTAATCAAGTAATGAATAGTCGAACTCTTAAATACTATTAAAACTTAATTTTTATCATATATATGAAAAAAATTATAGAAATTAAAATTCACTTTAATAATTTTAATTTACAAAAATAGGTTAATACGTATATTTAATTGCGTTTGTTTTAAAATATTAAAAAACAAATACAAAAAAAATAAAAAAAAACAATTATTTTCTAAAATGAGTCTTTATAGTATTTGAACATATTATAAATAAAATTTACAGTTTTGTTTGAATCAATTGAGTAATTTTGAAGTAATATTTTGTGATTTGACGTTTTTTCTATCTTTTATCACTTTTTTTTATTTTTTAAGAGAGAAAATTTAACTAGTAAATAAATAATATATTAATTAGAGTATGAATATATTTTCAATAACGTAAATTTTCTAATAATTAATTTTTTTATTTAAGAGAAAATATTCATTAAATAAAAATTTAAATTCGTATTAATTATTAAAAAATTAATTGAAAATATTAAATTTTATCAAGAATCACAACTTAATCTAAATTATAAATCATAAATAATAATTATATATATAATAAAATATAATTTAGATTAATACTTATAGAAAGATAGAATAAGGAATTAATATAAGATTAAGACGTTTGCAGTTGAATTGATTTAGTTCGATTGAATTTGCAAAATGAGAGTTAAAAAATGAACCAAACTGCAAATGTATAAATAGATGCACTTTATTGCGGTAATTGAAGTTAGACTTTGAACAGAGAGTTCTGCACAGCAACAAGAAGCACCGAACAGTGCACGAGGAATCAATTAAGTATATTCAGCTCTATGATTAACTACACCTTTAGTTGCAATAAATTGGATATCAGCAACCTTGCAGAAAGTGAT